ATGATGACTTGATGACATTAAATAATAATGTGATGATGTTATATGATGATGTACATGATGTTGACATGATGATGATGATGCATAATAACAAAAGATGATACGAGATATATGATGATGAAATGACTTAATATGATGATGTTCCGTATTAAGATGATGTGCATGTATTAAATGTCATGATACATTATGACGACAAGTTTTCAAAGACACAACCCTAGTTAATGTTAATGATGATGAATGTATGAAAGCCAATGTGTGCATGTTAATGTGTGAACGGTGTATAGAGTTGTGTCATAAAGATAATTTAAAGATGAAAACTGTAAGGACCTCATGCATTTTGTGTGTTCATATACATCGGGATACTTCCCCATTTATGATGATGATGGTTATGGTCATGCCTCGCATGACATTCAGAGGTCGGTTGACCTTCGGACGTCGCTACGAATAGTTAGCTCGACTATGATGGGTCCAGGGGGTGCGAATCGCTTGGGGACCCATGCTCGCACGTGCAGGTGTTTGTAGGGAAGTACTACCCATCCAATTTTGTCCAGAGAGGCCACTCCTATGATGTTCTTTAATGATAAGTCTGTAGATCATGAGTTGCATGTGTTTGCATTCCTTGACCACAATCGTAAGGTCAGTTACTAAATATTTATTTAAAATGCTCAAGTCTTGTTCTACTTCTATTTCAGGTAAGAGTAAGACATCCCTATACAGCTGACGACGACATTGCAATTTGAGACCATGACATATGCATAGAGTAGTCACATTTATTTTCTTAATCTTAGGTTAGAATAAGGTATTTTTAATTTTTACGGTTATTTATTTAATTTAGTATTTCGTTGTGTCGTTTTAAAGATGTTTTTGAACACATAATTTCATGACAGTGTTTTAAGATAAAGTTTATGTTTTTTGACGAAGTTTTAAATGTTTAATTTCACACATGAGTATAGATGATGACGACGATAACGATTCTAGGTTAAGTTTTAATTAATTTGCTTCTTACCATGAATGTCCATTTTGCTTTTTTTTTAAGGCTTGTAATGCTCTAGATATGATAGATTAATGTTATAAAAATCTTTTATTTCTTGAACCCATTTAGTACGGTCTTCTTATCAAATATTGTTTTAGGTTTGAAGTTGGATCGATTTTATTAGATTAGTTTTGATCGATCTAATTTAAAAGTAAATTATTTTGAAATTTAAGAGAACGTTATAGATTATAAGTTTTATGTAAGAGTCATGCATATTTCTAGCTAAGCTATTCATTGGAATCTATTAAATTTACCTTATTTGTGAGTATTCGCAATGTTGCTAGACAAACCTATAGTTTTAAAGATCTAGTTCAAATTTAGTTTAACCCGATCCTGATCTACTTCATGGATTTTCCATTCATCTCGATCTAGTTCACAAATTTCATGCTAGCTTAGATTTGTTTTAATGATTTTTCTTCAACTCCTAGTTCGATTTAATGTTCGATTTTTCTTCTATTGGTCTGACTCAATGATTTTTTCTTCATTTTGAGTTGATTCACGAAGTATTTAAGTTTTTCTTATAGGTTAAATATGTTATAAGCTTGATACTTGCATGTAGTGATAATTGTTGATAGAGCTTGGTTTGATGAATTGTTCATGCTATAAATAGCACCGTGATGATAAACCATGAATTACTAAGATAGATGTCCTGAGATCACACATTGGTTGGAGAGAGAAACAAAATATTTACTATCGGGCTGATGGTAATTGTTGATTAGGCGTGTGGAAATATCTTCTTTGTAGACGCGTTTTAAAACCATAAGGCTGATGGTGGTTCATAACGAGCTAAAGCAGACAATATCTACTACCGGTGGATTTGAGTTATTATAGATGTTATCTATATGCTACTACAATGGAAGTGAGTTTCAAGTAAGGTTATGTATGAGAATATTCCATGTTGTAATATATCGTAAGACTGTTATTTCTATTTTAGGACTTCGTGCATATTGTGTAAACATTTTATTTATGAGTTACATCTCTAACCATGAATCATGTCTATGGTACAATTCATACATATTTTAGATATAGGGTCGTTACAATTGTTTTGTAGACTCGTTTATAATGTAAGCAGTAAGAGTTCTCATGACCAAACAAAAGACGCTTAATCACAACCAAACATATCCTTAGAAGGATTATATTTTAGTGGTTTTATTAAAGCGAAGAAAATACTTTTGTTTTATGCTTTAAAACAAGGTTGCCCTGATGTAATAGAGATATAGAAAATCTCTCTCGAGAACAACTAGTAAGTCTAGTAGACTCACCAGGGACACAACTAGTAGGGCAAGTACAGTCCAAGGTAGCAACACTAATGTTATAAACGTTATAGACCTTGGTGCAGATAGTCATGGCCAGTCAGGTAGCCTCGTTAAAAGTGCATCTATGAAAACAAGGTACTCGAGGGATTTTAGGAAACAAGATATTCACATCTCTAATGGATCCTCCAAGGATCCGATTGTAGCATAATTATGGATGTCATCTCTAAAGACCATATTTAGGCTTATGAACTTGCAAGACGAGCAAAGAGTGTCGTGCACGTTGTAGAATGACGGTCTTATGACGACATTCAATTATTGTTGCAAATACCCGTTTATCGATTACATTTTTGAACTTTAGATTATAATTTTAATAAATGTATATCATTATTACTCTAGCAAGTTCTTTAAAATGCATTATTTTCATTATATGTTCAGATTTAAAGATAAAAATTGAATAATATATTTGATTTGGATAATATGAAATATTTGTTGATTTTTGGGCACTCTTATTCCATTGACCAACTAAAGGAGTCAACTAATAATTATAGCAATGACGAAAAGAAAGAGGCCAGTACTTTTCCATTTCTTTTGAGGCCGCAGCTCATTAAATTTTGACCCTTCAATCCTCCTTCCCCTATGTCCTTTCAATTCAATATTACTTACTCGAATTAAACAAAAATGAGATTTACGATCGAAAAACCAAGCCGAAGTCACTAGCTAAAGTGTCTACGGTATCCATGAGGCCTTCTCCAAAGGGGATCGACCGAACGCTTTGAACGAATAAGAAGTGGACAGCCAAAGGAATCAATGATTCTTATTCCACCCAGTTGAAGCTAGTCACTTGTCGATTCTTCACCCGAGGTTGGTAAGAATTTAAAGACAATGTCCCCTGACCTAAGTGGGCTTATCAACAAAGCAACGGGTACTTGATGAAATGAAGAAATCTAATATGAAATGAGGAAATAACCAGATAAATGAAAAGAGAATTGAATTCTATTTGTACTATATCTAAGATGAAAAGTCATCTATTAAAACAAGGATAGTGTGTCGTAAATGGTCGGAATAGCTTAGTTGATAAAGCAGAGGAATAAAAATCCTTGTGTCATTGATTCAAATCTAGTTCTTGACACATCATGAATTTATATGAGTATCAATCTTTCCAGTTATTTATTTCGTTCTAAAGTGGTCCTTTGTTAGCGTGAGGGTGTCCAATTTGCATACCAATGACTCGATATTGTATAGAATGAAGAAACAAGTAATCGATAGATTTGAAGAGTTAAAAGTGAGTAATTATAAAGGTGAAAGTAGATAGAAGCATTAAACTTATATAGTTGACTGTAGTTGACTCCAAGTCATCTTCCAGCTGCCATTTAATCAGAAGTTTTGAGGGTGAGCTGGAGTATTATTCTTGCAAAAACCTAGGTGATGTTGTCTTGTTGTCTCCAGCTCAGATCTTTAACGTTGTCATCAAAGTTTGTCAGAAGGAGCAGTAGAAAGGGTGAAATGAGATTACCAGGGACATTTGCCTTGTAATTTTTCTGTCTTTTTGTGAGAATCCTATGTATTTGCCTTGTAATTTTTCTGTCTTTTTGTGAGAATCCTATGTATCTTTCAATGTCTCGTACTCGGTTCACTCGAAGTATGTCTATTACCCTTTTCGAGTCTTGGTGGAGCTTTGGGGATAAATTGGTTAGCCATAAATTGAGTTGTTATTGCTTGTGTGTACATCTAAATGTCATATATACGACATTTTATTGTTTTCAACTACTAAATTATTAGGACATTATGGAAAATATCACTTGTGAACCCTTACCCTTGTGGCCAAGTTCATGACCCAACAGATAGTTGGAGATCCCTTAGATTGTTCCCACGGGAGATGCACAACTCTCGATAACTCTAGACCATCATCAACATCAATGTGATAGGTTCACTAATATCGACACTAGACCATCATCACTGTGATAGGTTCACTAATATGAATTACTGGCTCGACTATTAATTCCCACATCGTCATTGCACTTGTATGAGGTGACCCCACAATTGGTAGTGTCATGCCAACCCTTAGCCCCCTTGGGATGAGTTCATGAATAGCAATGAGCTAATAAACCCCCTGACCATCCCCAAATAGAAGTCTACTAAGTGAAACTATTGATTATGGATAATGAAACAAGGCTTGATATCTTACATGACCTATGTCCACGAGTAACTCAAGGCTTTTTGCTTTCACATGATATTTAACCCTTATGTCCGTAGGAGCATATTAAAGAATCCCTCGGATCTATACTCTACTTATGAGTCACAAAACGTCTATTCTAATTGGATTCCACTTTGAAATTGATGGAAACCGTCTTAGGATTGACTCTCATGAGTAATGAATCTTAATTCTAGGAACAGAACTAATCTGTCGTAGTCTAGCAGACATCGAAAGAGCTAAGAACTAATCCTCGTAGTCTAGCATGCGTGTGCACGAACTTCTTAAAATAAATATGGACTCATCTATTTATTATGATATTAATTACCCACTGGTGCCTATCGTACTTCCTTTGAAGTTATAGAAAATTTCATTGTCCTTAGTCTTTGGCACATTAAATATCACTTACTTCCAACCTCTCATAACCTTCCAATACCTTAAAATTTGAACACTCTCCCTTGTAACCCATAACGCTGCTACTGTCTCCACAGAAGCCTTCCAATATTCCATCAAAAACAACATGATGAATGCAAATTTTGCAAGGAGGGAGCTCATAACAATACTCAGCATCGATGGCGGCGGCATCAAAGGCATCATCCCCGGAACTGTCCTCGCCTTTCTCGAATCCAAACTTCAGGTGTTCGACAAAACTTTACGTTCTAACTTTTTTTTTCTATATATGTAACTATCCAAGCCCATCGTTAGCAGAAATTATCCGCTTTGACCTATTATGTATCATCGTCAGTCTCACAGTTTTAAAACACATTTAATAGGGAGACGTATCCACACTTTTGTAAGAAATACTTTGTTCCCCTCTCCAATCTACGTGGGGAACTCACAATATCTGCTAGCAGTGGACTTGAGCTGTTACAAATGGTATCAGAGTTAGACATTGGACGGTGTGCCAAAGAGGACGTTGGCTGCCAAGAGGTAGATTGTGAGATCTCATGTCGATTGGAGAGAGAAACAAAACATTCCTTATAAAAGTGTGTAAACCTCTCTCTAGTAGACGCGTTTTAAAACCGTGAGATAAACGACAATACGTAAGGGCTAAAACGGACAATATCTGCTGTGGATGAGTTTGGATTTTTACGATAATGTATAGTCGAAAAGTTAGAAAGAAAACCATTGTCATCGTATATAATTTGAGTTGACTTGGTAGGAATTGGACGGCACAGAGGCAAGATTAGCGGATTACTTCGACGTAATCGCGGGGACGAGTACCGGGGGATTAGTCACGACCATGCTTACAGCTCCGGACAAGAACAACAACAATCGACCGTTGTTTGCGGCGAATGAGATTAAGGAGTTTTACATGGAAGAGGCTCCTAGGATTTTTCCTCAACGAAGGTTGTTGTTATGAAACATTGATTTTGGTTGGTTTTTGTTTAGTGTATTGATAATGGTTTGGGAGATAATTATGTAGGAACTTTCTTGGTGGGGTGTGGAAGTTGATTGGGCCCAAGTACGATGGGAAGTATTTGAGAACAGTGGTGAACAACTTGGTCGGAGAGTTGACTTTGAAACAGACGTTGACCAATGTTGTCATTCCGGCTTTCGACATCAAGATTCTCCAACCGGTCATCTTCAACACCCATGATGTATCAAAATCATGTCTGGTTTTATTTTTTATTTTTCCTTAGATTACAAATTTATTTTAATCCTAAAATTTTATTTTTAAGCACTTGAAAAGTTATTGGTAGGGGGAATATTATGCAGGCAAAGGTAAATGCATTGAAGAATCCGAGGCTGGCGGATGTGTGCTTGGCCACTTCGGCAGCGCCCATATACTTGCCAGCCCATTTCTTTGAGACCAAGGACGATGTAGCAAACACCACTCGTACTTACGACCTCATTGATGGTGCCATTGCCATTAATAATCCTGTGAGTTACTTTCGTTAGTACCACTTGTTCTTTATTGAAACACAAATTTACCCATAAACTTCTTTTGAGTAGTAACTTTTTTTTACCGTAACTTTCAATTTCATTAAATAGCACGATAAAACTTAACTGGTTAGTGTAATTTTTGTCGAAAGATCATAGCTGTATCTCAATAAGGTCATAATAACTATATAATTCAATTAAAAAGATTTAAGTATATAGATATTTTAACCTAAATATTTTAGGATAACTATTTACATTTTGAGATATTTTAGGAATAAGTCTTGAAGCTCATGTGTGGTCTACACGGTTTAGTCTCTACGATATATATCTCTCCTATAGTTTTTTTTGGTAGTGTTGGGTATCTTTTATTGATTGGTCTTAAGAAAGATTGTGAATATTTCCCACCAAAGATTTGTGTTCAACGTCAGAGCAAGGTTGTGATAAGTTGTGTAATCTCTTAAAACTCTTAGTATGCTCTATAAGTTGCGCTCTACCTGATCTTTTATATTAGAAACGATTTCTTGAGTTATTAATGAGTGAGTTTCTTCGTGTTATGAGTAGTCCTTGACTTTGCAAGTTATGTGTTGAAAACTAGTTTGTTTGGTAGTACTGAAATACTACCAATACAACGGGTGATCTTCAAGACATTGAATGAATTAGAAACTCAACGGCAACAACTACAACACATGAGTAACCTGCATGAAGTCCTATATAGAAGGACAAGGCCTTTGGGAGGCCATTAGCAAAAGTAAAATTATGCTGTCAGAGAAAGATGCTAATGGTGCCTTGTGCAAATGAAGAATTAAAATAAACCAAGCAATATTTGCCTTGAAAACCACCGCCGAAGAAGAGATGTTGGATTACATTTAGGATGATAAGACACCGAAAGAAGCATGAGAAATGTTCATGACACTTTTCTCAAAGAAGAATATAGAAGGTTTGTTATGGTTGTACAAGAATGACCCGTTCAACCATTACTAGTAGAGTTTCAAAGTTTTCTAGCCAGCAAAAAAGTCATGGCTAAACAAATAGGAGGCATCACGTTGAAAAGTGAAGAAGAAGCACTCTACACAAATAAGAGTCGGAGCAACAATAAGTCACCCACCAAAACTAAATACAAAAATAGAGGAATTCTCCAAGGAACTGTACAACCTTAAAAAGGTTAGAAAAATGACAACAAGAGTTTACAAGACAAGAGATTTGAAGGTATCTGCTATAACAGATAAAAAGAAAAAAAGAAAAAAGAAGGGTCATATGTCCAAAAAAATTTTGTCCAAAAAAGGGTACATCGAAACAATATGACTGTTAGTGTTATTATAACACATGCGGAAGCAATTTGGATCTTAGGCACTTTTAAAACATCAATTATTGTAAATTACTAGCATGTTTATAAGTATTAAAACTTAATGAGTTTAAATACTAACCTTTTGTAGTTCAAACTTCTTTTGCCTCACGAACCGGTTTCGAACCACCACTAGTGTCTTCTCCACTATCCTCCGGCCTTAGAACGGGATTGTGGAATCCAGTGAGTGACTAAACTTGGGAGGGATTTTGTATATGTGAAAGAGAGTGTTTGTGAGAAGTTTTTCTCAAGGTTTTTCATCAAGATGAAGAAAATCCCCTCCACGTATCATGATCACTCTATTTAAAGAGTCAAGTTTGCATGTTCATGCAAACTTGAGATCACCAAATTTTGACACTTAAAATTCCACTCAAATGTTTGGGATTATGTGGCAAGTATGCATGTTTGAGTTAACCAAATTTTGACACTCAAAATTCCACTCAAACTTGTGGGGTTTATTTGGATTTAGATTAATGATCGTAAAGTTCACTTTATTCAATAACAATTTTTACTGAATAAACATCAATAATAACTTTATTGAAAATAGAATATATCTTTGTTTACAAACTATGAGTTTTAGGACATAAAACCCAACAAACTCCCACTTGGACTAAAACTCTAGTCGGGTTTTATAACGTTGAGTAGAGAGAAATACAATAAACTAGGGCATCACATACGGATGTCTTTTCTCCCACTTGCCCTAAATTACATAACTCGTAGTCCTAGACTCACTAGGTGCCCTTCAAACACTTTAGCCGTGAGGGGCTTTGTAAATGGATCAGCAATGTTGTGCTCTGAAGCTATCTGTGTGACGATCACATCTCCTCGTTGCACAATCTCCCTTATGAGATGATATTTGCGTTCAATATGTTTTCCTCGCTTATGGCTTCTTGGTTCTTTTGAATTTGCAACTGCTCCACTGTTATCACAATAAAGAGTGACGGGAAGATGCATATTTGGAACGACTTCCAAATCAGTTAAGAACTTCCTAAGCCATACAGATTCTTTCGCTGCTTCACAAGCAGCAACATACTCAGCCTCCATGGTGGAATCAGCAATGCAACCTTGCTTTATGCTTCTCCATATTATTGCTCCTCCGTTCAGAGTGAAGACAGATCTTGATGTCGATTTCCTCGAATCAACATCCGTCTGAAAATCTGAGTCAGTGTACCCTGTAAGGATCAGATCCTTAGCACCGTACATTAGCATATAGTCCCTCGTTCTCCTAAGATACTTGAGGATATTCTTAACGGCAGTCCAATGAGCACGTCCCGGATTGGACTGATATCTGCTGACAATTCCCACAACATAGCATATGTCGGGTCGGGTACAAAGCATGGCATACATCAGACTACCGACCGCTGATGCATAGGGAATGTGTTTCATATCCTCAACTTCTTGAGGTGTCTTAGGACTTTGTTCCTTCGACAAATGAACTCCATGCCTGAAAGGTAATAATCCTTTCTTGGAGTCCTGCATCTTATATCGAATCAACATTTTGTCGATGTTCGATGCTTGAGACAATGCTAGTGTTTTGTTCTTGCGATTCCGAACAATTTGGATTCCAAGAACAAACTGAGCCTCTCCCAAATCTTTCATTTGGAATTGTGTCGCCAGCCAATGCTTAATGTCAGTCAGAATTCCCACATCATTTCCAATGAGTAGGATATCGTCAACGTACAACACCAGGAAAGCTACTGTAGAGTTGACTATCCTTTTATAAACACAAGGTTCGTCAACATTCTGTTTAAAGCCATAAGATTTGATCGCAGTATCAAACTTTATATTCCAGGATCGAGATGCTTGCTTCAACCCATAAATGGATCTTTTAAGCTTGCAAACCCTTTGCTCGTGATCCTGTTCAATGAACCCCTCTGGTTGAGCCATATAGATACTCTCTTCAAGATTGCCGTTTAGAAAAGCTGTCTTAACATCCATTTGCCAAATTTCATAATCATAAAATGTGGCAATAGACAAGAGTATTCTTATTGATTTAAGCATAGCAACAGGAGAGAAGGTTTCTTCATAGTCCACCCCCTCTCTTTGGGTATAATCCTTTGCTACTAGTCGTGCTTTAAAGGTCTGTACCTTACCGGTTTGGTCTCGTTTCCTCTTATAGATCCATTTGCAACCAATAGGTTTTACCCCATCCGGTTGATTTACAAGTTCCCAGACTGAATTGAAGTACATTGACTCCATTTCAAGATTCATGGCTTTAATCCACTGATCTCTATCCTCATCATTCATTGCCTGTTTATAGGTCAATGGATCCTCAACGCCATCATCAGGTATGATGACTTGAGTTTCTGCCAAACCCAAGTAACGATCGGGTTGAGTTATAAC